GTAGTAGTAGTAGTAGGAGGAGTCGCCGTCGCCGTCGTCGTCGGGACCGGCAGCAGCATCTGGTGCGAGTGCTAGCAGGGCCTGTGGTAGTGTCAGTGCTGGCAGTCGCGCTCGCGCTTTGCTGGTGCCAATGGTATTGAGAGTGGTAGTGGAGGAAGAAGAAGCTTGCTGTGGTACTTGTTGTGGTTGCTGTTGTAGAGTGAGCATACTGGAGCAGGGGCAGCAATAGTGACTGCGTTTCGACCCTGAGTCATTGTTGCCAGGCCTTGAAGCAGTTCGCTGCGAACAGCGCGCAGAAAACCCGCAAGTCGACTCTGGAGCTCGCCTTTGCGGCGCCTGGGGCAGATATAAGCCTGACGTTGCACTAGTTTCCAGTGGTTTCCAGTGTGTGGGTTTTCCAGATTATGTTGAGGTTTCTTTGTTTTCCCCTGCTGTCGGGTGGGGAGCAGGACTTTCGTGTTTGGCAAGTGCGGTATCATTGTTACGGACGACATACAACTCAAGGCGGAAACGGCTGTTTCTTGGAACAGGAAAGGCGTCCTCTGGGAAGCTGAGCAAGACTGTCAACAACATTTTCGACTGTGCCAGTCCTCGTGACAGTTGATTGTAGTGTGTGCCCGATTTCACAAAAGTCCGGGTAGCCCAGGCCGTAGCCTAAAGTCAGCACAAAGCTAATCGTTCAAAGTCCTCTTCCACGTGCTTGGTTCCCGCAAGGTGCGCCAAGCGGCAACGGCCAGAGTTCTTGCCGCGCCTGGGTGAAGAGTTTATGGAAAAGTATGCGCAAAGAGCTTTCAGGGGGCTCACGGGGTTGTCCCAAACAGGAACTTAACAACACCGGATTGCGTGTCCAGGAAGTTTCGCTTTGAAGTTCTGGAGCTCGAATGTTCTGAAGCCCAAATCTCACCAACACTTTCTATTCACCAAGTCAAATTCGAGTCCTGACTTGTTCTAATCATTCCAATCGTTTCATTACTCTTCGGATTCAGGTGCCCAGCAGGATTTGTTCGTCATCGTGTCATCTGGAATTCAACAAAAGCTTTCGCAGGAATCCAGAACCCCGAAGGTTGAACTGCACAAGCCTCAAATCCACGGAAGTGCCTAGCCACCCTTAAACCCAGGTGAAGGACCGTGTGGTCATGGCTCGCTCTCAGGTTCATGCCCAGGCTGGTTTTCTCACTCTTGCGTTTTCCAGACATTCATTGTTTGGGCTTTTTGTGGGGAGGTTGTCTTCGAGACCCGACTGACTCCTGGTTAGCAACCTTTCCGTCACTTCCATCATTTAATCAGTTGGGATGGGTTTTGAATTCGGCAGCATGCGACTGTGGGTAAAGTCGTCGACACTTCCGCGAGAATATGAAACCATTCTGTACCGTTCTATTAGGTAAGATCCTCAAGACCTGACTGGTTGTGCTGTTCTCTTTGTATGCTTTCTGTCCATGCGCTTCGAAGGGAGGCCCAGAGCAACCTCGCAAGGCCAGCAGCGCCGTTGTCAACGCCAAGGCCAAGGCACTGGAGGTCTCGGGGAAGGCCAAGCAAGCTGCCAAGGATCCTCGGCTGTTGCTTTTTTCTTTAGTGGTTTGAGGCTCTAGGCACATTAGTCTTCAGGTTTGCAGGTGCTCGGGTTTCTTCGCCGGCGTTTTCCAGCTAACGCGTTGGACTCGGAGCCGAGATGCGTAGGATGTCGCGCCGGGATGAGGATGAACAGCCTGCAGAATGCCCGCACACCCCGCTCGCTGATTCTAGAAGTTAGTTGAAAGTTCTGGTTTCACTTGTTTCTGGACCAAGACCAGGGATGCTAAGCCCAAAGTCTCGCCGAGGATGGTCATGTGCAGGCAACTGCGGCTGGCATTGCAGGTGCCGTGTTGAAAATCTTTGTCGACCGAGCAATCTGCCCCTAAAGCTAGCTTTGGAAAGCGGTGCGATCGTGAACTCCCAAAGGCTTGGGTTTAAGGGGTTTGGAGTAAGCGGCGGCCAAAAAACAGCAGCACTCAGGTGGCGCAGCAACCCTTGGTGCCGCAGGCGGCGCCACCGGCTTGGCCTCGGGCGTCGCCGTCGGTGCAGCCCTGGGCGTCCCTTGGCCTGGACTTGGAGGGCTGGCAGTGCTTCCGGCGGTTTATTTGTGCGTTGCCTACAGGGTATGATTCAGGTGTCGGTGACTGCACCGAAGATCTGACTGAAGTGGCAGAAGAAGGAGATGAAGTTTCTCGCTGCCGCCAAGCAGGGTGCAGACTTGGGGCATGGGGGTTGAGCAGCAATATTTCATCAGGCTTCATCCCGAACACCCGGCTGTAATTGAAACCCTACACTCCTACGCCTCGAACCTTGCAAGTAAAACCCAAAGCTAGCGAAGATGAAAAAAAGCTTCTCCAATGCAAGGTCGTCCCTGCCCTGTTCACGTTTGGCCTTTCCATCCCCATCGGCGCTGCCATCGGAGGTGGCACCGGACTGGTAGTCGGCCCGCACTTCAAGAGTTTCAGTGCTTATAGAAGTTTCCATTTACCCAGGCAGCTCTTCATGTAGCTGTCCTACCCTATCTATCCCACCTTATCCTATCCCATCCCGTCCTATCCCGTCTTATCCATCCATCCATCCTTTCATCCTTCCATGCTTCCATCCTTCCATATGCTTATCTTCTTTCTCGGTAGGCAAGGGTCCGGAGGATGCGCCTCAAGCACTAGATTCGAAGGGTGAAACGCAAGAAAAGCCCATTCACGCCCCCTTGCTACGCCTCTGGCGTGAAGAGTCCATCAACACGCCGTACGAAACCACCTTGCACACCATCCCGTGACCGGCTTTAAACAATCCAACGCGGAACAGGATGCTCGAATGGCATTTGGGGAGGAAAGAGAGGCCTGCAAGACCAACGACATCACAAGCAGCGTGAAGCCAGGAGACCTGCCAACGTGTGACGGCGAGAGGCAGGCTGGCCTGGAAAGGGTACCTATAACGCCCTGGAGGGCCGGTCGTCAGAGAAGCGCACCATAGCTCACCTCGTGGAAGGGCGCAAGTGGCGGACAGCAGTCCAACTCTGCGCGCGGGTGCTTGGGCGGCCGAAAGTCATCACACCACAGGTCGGGGTCCAGGAGTAACGACAGGTCACTGGCAAGGTCGGCAATGACTTTAGGCTCTTGTTGAGGCCCTGTTCCCCAGACCGCAAGGGTCTGCCGCAAAACCTCAAGCGGCTCCACAGTCGCGTGCACTGTTGCCCACGCCGTATCGGACGAGGGGCTTCGAGCCGTTTGATCCTCCCAACGCTTGCATAAAAAGTCGTCCACACGCGTGGCATACGGGTCTCTTGGTCGCTGTGACGACCAGGTTGGATGCATGGACACGTGTATTGGCAGGCCCACGCGGGTCTGCTGGCAAACGACCTTCGTAGACAGGGTCACAACCTCAGACCTGTGCAACGGATCGCCTCAAGGCCTGCATGGCCGCTAAACTTGTGACCTTGGCGACTTCAAGGCCTCTTATGCGCTTGAGTGTGCGCCTTGAAGTAGGCAGGCCGATTCCGGATGACGGCGTCCCAACTCTGCCATGCTGATGTCGGATCTCCAAGGTCTGTGGTGTCCCTGAGCCACTGGTACATCCAGTCCAAAAAACTGCGCCGCACAGGGCCGGTCTCGTCGGATGAGGGCCAGAGCTGCTCCGGTGCAGCATGAAACAACTGCAGGAGGTAGCGTGCTCGCTCAACCTTCGGCAGCACTTCCGGCGGGGGCTGCTGCAAAAGTGCGCAGAGTGTTGCGTGCGTGAGGTGCTGATCGGCATCATGTGCAATGGCACGGGTCCGTCGGTAAAGGGAAAGAGCGGTCCGGAAGAACAGGGAGTGTTCGCATCGGCTTAATTAGGGGTGGCCAGGAGCCGGAGCCCAGGCATAAGCGACCCGGTGCCTAATCTCCGCGATCATCGTCGCTTACCAAGGTGGCCGTAAGTAGTGAGCAGAGGTAGATATTCAGCTCGTTGTCCCTCCTGGAACACCGGAAAGGTCTTGTTGTGGGAGAACAACTTTCAGCGGGCGGCCTTCGAACCTGGACCTCGAACAGTAATAACCGCGGATTCTGGACGGTCCAAAGCTGAGATCCGCCACGAGTCCACATTCTTTGACGCCCACCCCTCCGGCACTTCTGCTCGAGCGGATGCGAGCGGTATGCATTTGGCAAGGTCATCGAGCCATATCACATCCTCGAGGCTGGTATACTGTGTGTCCAGTCCTCGGAGTCGGCGCTAGGCTTGCTGAGGTCGAGGAGCCCATCCGACCTGATGCGTCCTGTCGCTTCAGCATCGGCCCTAGCCGCATCAGTACACCGTAGAAGCCGTAGAACAGGTCGGCCCAGCTCGAGCCTGGCCGTGACCCGTGACGGGTGACAACGGGCTATCCGTCGTTGGAGAGGTACATCCGTACATCCACGTAATCGGCAGTGAGCGACTCCAACCAGGCAGGCGCCCCGCCCTTTTCAGGGCAGTGCATGGGCGCGGTGAGCTGCGCGGTCGAGCCTCGGGCCCTGACAGCGCAGTAGTAAGCTGCTGCGACGTCGGTCAATGAGGCGCGCCATCGCCCAAAGGTTCTGGTCAAATGCGAGCCAAGCGCAACTGACGCTGGTAGGGCACTGATTTCAACGTTTTATGCAGCAGCTTGGATGGAGTGGGAAGTAAGATGATGGCTCGGTGTTTTTTGCACAATATGGATCCCCTTCTCCCCACGCTTGAAGCCCACCGGCTCGATCCTTGTCAAACCGACCTTATAGAGCAGCGGGAGGAGCAGCTCTATCAGGGCTTGCGGGCAGGCATGACCGACTTCGCAAGGTAGGCCATCGGGCCTGATGCCTTGCCTTCTTCGTAGTGACGGGATCCAAGAGGGTATCTGGTGAAGGGAGGTCGGTGAGTGTGGCCGGGAGTGGGCGGGGCACCTGGTCTGCGGTAAAGGCTGCAAGATCGGAAAGGGCAACTTCCATGCGTCTTCCTGCTTGCGGAAATGTTCCCGCCAGCACAGTTTGATCTCCTCCGGAAAAATGCAGAATGTGCCGTCTTCCTTCTGAACTTCTGGGAGGACATCCGGACGGAAGGGTTTCTTGCGCTTGTGAGGCTATAAGACGGGAAACAGCAGCAGGCGTCCTTGCTGGACGGAGTCAGCAAGCACGCTAAAATGCCGTGCCCGATCCCGTTTGAAAGCTGACTTCAAACTCCTGTGTGCACAGTGAACCTCGGCGTGAGAGGTTTCTCGCGTCCAGCGGAATTCAGCGTGGAAGTGAACGCAGCTCCACTGTGCTGTCGCCAGGATATTGAAAAACGGCCGCGAGCATGTCGAACCCGACCGCCTGTTTGATCCGCGCACCTTTTCCACTGTGGCGGGGCCCGGGGGCGGTTGCAGGAGGGTGCTCCGTGGCCGGTGTCATATATAGGGTGCGCCACTGTTGGTCGCTTCGGTGTGGTTGGCGGAAGAAAGACACCAAGCGCTCGCTGCAGGACCGCCGTTGCGCGCCCGTCATTACGGGACATGCCCGAGACAAAAGAGCCTCTCCTTGTCCGAGTGGGAGGCCGAGGCCGAGGATGGCACGGAAGGCAGCAACATGGAATCAACAGGGCTCTTGGCAGCTCTGGCGAGGGGCGTGCTCGCCGTCCAATGCAGCGTGGCAGAAGACAAAACCGCCAAAGCCAAAGCCCAGCCAAAGAAGGCGGCCTTTCCTACTCACCGTGGTGTCGGTGGTCCCAGCAAGTGAATCGATGGGCCTCCCTTCCCAGCTGCAGGATACTGGCAACTTGGTGACGGATGTGCAGTCGGCCCTCAACTACACCCGCAAGACGGACATGAACTGCATACAGCATACAGCACGACCCAAGAGCAATGGGCGGGCTCCGAGGCACAGGCCCAAACCAATTTCCAAACGGAAAGGAGGAGATTCACGGCGGCGGAGGAGCAACAAGCACTGGCGAGAGAGCTGGTGAGGAAATTGCGGGAGGCAGGCGGGCCGGCTGCTCGGAAAGAAGGGTCAGTCAGAGCTTGGCGACCAGTAGGCCTGCAAGCTTGAGGTTCCGCCGCCCAGCGGATTTTTTCGCCTGCAAACGGTGCCACGGGGGGCTAGGCTAATCAGTGCCGTTCGCATATAACAGCGACACTTGTGTGCCTGGGGCTCTCTATTCCGGCCCGTTCCGGCGATTCGAGCCCTATGTGTTTATCTATTATTCATGTGTACATGTATCTTCATGGTTGCAATCAGACCGTCAGAAAGCTGCTCCTTGCCAAACGTTGCAGTTTGAAAAACCTTCAGTCGCCAAGCCTGACGATTAGCACGGTGAAGCCGAAATCTTAAACCTCAAGCCCCACCACCGCCGTGTTTTGAGTGCATCTGTGCTGCGCAAGATGGTTCCACTCCGACCACATAACAACAGAGCAGAACACGAACAGCAACAAAATGAGCTTCCCGGTGGTGGGCTCTCAGTGGTCCATGGCTTCGAAACTAGTAAACAAAGAGCGAACAAACAGCAGCAAAACAAGAGCACAAAACCCAGCCACACCTTCAAACAGAACAAACGAAAAGGACAAAACAACACAATGTTTTTTTGGTTTGTTTTGCTGTTGCTTGATTGATGTTAAAACAAACCTTTCCCGGTTCTCAGAGGTTGCCTGCTCTCGAAGCCCTTAAGCACACAGCATACCCTTGTGTGTGAAACGCATTTATGCAACACGGAGGTACTGATGGATCCATGCTGCTCAAGATACTGGCGTCCGGGTTGTTATCCATGACCAAGTAATGAGCATGCTGCGACATTTAGTTGATGCGGGCAGTGGGCCTGGCAAACCTAGGCTGTCGGCACTACGGTTGGCGCAGCCGCTGGAGCCGTGAGTGGAGGAGCCGCCGGCTATGGAGCTTATGCGAAGCGTGGCGCCGCGGGTCCCAGAGGGTGTTGCTGTGTTTGTTTTGTGTTCGGATTGAGTTCGACTTTCTGCATGTGGCATTTTCTTTCGAATGTTTAGAGAACTTGGAATTTTCGGGGTTCGGGTTTCCGGGCCACAGGTTGCAGGATGGTCTGAGGGGTATGAAGGACTGTGGCGCGTAGGCCATACCTCTCAAACCTGATTTTCCCTGACATCTGCCTTGGCGTGGAGCTCTGCTTGCATGTTGCAAGTTGGGTTTTTCATTCTACCTATGAATTTCGGAACTACACAGGTGCATCAAACCGCAGATGCAAGCACGAAGTGCAAGGCCTCGGAGACAGACTTCTGAGATTGCGAATGCGGAACGGCGCTTGTCCCTTGCGTTGCGACTAGCTAGCCGTTCGGCTCGGCCTCTCATAGCTCAACAGCTGCAGAAACTAATCCGACTAGCTTTGCGACAGCGAGAGAGAGAGAGAGAGA